CTTGCCAGGAACTCGCTGCGGTCCATGTTCTGGCTCCCCCACATGTGGGCGGCGAACATCGCGCATCAGGCCAGGGAGGAGAATCGGATCGAGAGCGACTTGGGACTTCGAGGCGTCATCGACTCCCTGACGGCCGTTCGTCGGACGTGTGCCATCTGTCAGCACGTGGAGTACATCGAGGTTCCGATCGTCTACACGCAGGTTCTGTTTCCTTGCGATTCCTCTGACGGGGATCGCTTTTTTTCACGTACGGATCTTAGGAGACGCGGTGCGTGCCTTCGACGTTGTTGAACCGCGAAAACGCGGCGACGACGAAACGGCTGCAGCAACAAGATGGCGCAAGTGGGCGGAAGATGAGAGAAGAGAAGCCGCTCTCGTCCGTCTCGATGCCATCGAGATGGACGATTCGAGGTTGAGAAGCTCCGAAAATGTTATTCTTGCGCTACAAACGACGTTTTCAGCTTTCGAACCCACGTTCGCACGGAGTCGAGAGATCGAGTCGACATTCGTACTTGCCTCGGCGCAGATGAAAATGCAAAAATACGGATGAACCCGGACCGTGGGTTAGCGTAACGTTCAAAATGATTGCACCGACGACGCACGAAGAAGCCGCGCATGGCACCTGCTAGGTGCCCTACACCTGCTAGGTGCCTGCTAGGCGCAAGGACTCGACTGTCGCACGGCTACGAACCGACTTACCGCTGGAGCTCGCCATCTAAGCATGAGATATTTTGCTAAGTTCGGAACGTAGCATATCTGCTACATCTTGCATTTTGCATTTGGGTGAATCTTCTCATTTCCAAGTATCTCTTTTTAGCTCGAAAAAATGTGAAAATCTCTGCCAGCCTCTGAGCAGATTCTTCTGTAAAGACCCATCTGCATGTTCTCTCGTCAGGTGGTGACAGTCGCCACGTACAGCTTCTACTTCGCATTGGTGCTGGGAAGCCAGTACATCGACCCCGACAACGATCCGAAATCGAGCGGCGACAACAGCCAAAAACTGGGCGGATTGAACACCTACATCCCCTTCGTGGCCATCTTCCAGGTGAGTCGGACGAAAACGCTCGACGAGACATCGCGACGAAACTCGAGAAAAAAAAATTATTTTTTCTCAGTTGATCTTATACGTCGGATGGCTGAGAGTGGCCGAGTCTCTCATCGATCCGTACGGCGAAGACGACGCGGATTTCGAGCTCAACTGGCTCATCGACCGTCACATCAAGGTGAGTTCCGCGACGTCGCGGTTCTTGCATCCGGTTCTCACCGGTCATCCGGTTCTCACCGGTCAGCGAGTGCTTCCGTACGATTCTTGGCTCTGCTCGAAGGTCTCGCACGTGATGGGAGAGGGGCTGAACGTGGACTTCAAGCAATACACGTGGAACGATATGTTCCCGTGGCTCTTCAATAAAGCGCTGGCGCCCAGGCCGAAGCTGCTCGCCTTCGCCAACATGATGGACAAGGATAAAGGTTCCAAGGTCAGGCTTTCCGCACGATCAGAGCTCGAACGCGAACGCATTCGCGTCTCTCGTCCATTTTGTGCGTTGCGTTGCGTCGCGTGAAGGAGGTCTCTCTCCGTTGTTTCCGTTGGGAGCGATGCGGAGACCTCCAGAAGGGGATGCAGGGGCACGCCGATGCCGCTGCATTCGACCGAACGGGGCAACAAATACATATTTAGTCCGGAGGATTCCGAGTAGAGCGGAGGAAAGAGCGTTTCCGTCGAATGCGAGAAGGGGATTCCCCTAATCATCGGAAGCCACGGCTCCGATTTTCTCACGTCGACGTACCGTTCCGAGGGAACCTCGGAATCGACGCCTCCGACTGAAGCACGCGGTGGAGCTTTTCTCTCGTGCGAATCGGTTTTCCGGTAAAGCAAGTAAATTGCCGTCTCGTTTATGGATCCCTTAAATGCGTTCGCGACTCGAAAACTGCTCCTTTCCTCTCGAAACACAGGAAAAATGGAATACTATTTTCATCTCGCGTCCTGTCTTCGTCGACGCGAAAATCCCCGTCGTAGAAAATCCATTTCTTATTTCTACCTATTTCCCATCGTTCTAGCCCCTCTCTTCCCGAATAGTAACGGGAGGATAAGGAGGATCATCCGAAGGATCATCCGACGGGGAAGTACGCACGAGATGACCTTTTTTCGTTCCTGGGGATCGAGGCCGCGTTTCACCGAAGCATTACGACGTCGCGATTCCGAGGATTTACGGGGGCGAGTCGGAGTCCTCTACCGTTCGGGTCACGAACCGGTCACGAACTAACCGGTAACGACCGGTCACGAACTAACCGGTAACGACCGGTCACGAACTAACCGGTAACGACCGGTCACGAACTAACCGGTAACGACCGG